CCTTCCGGGGTCTCCCGCAATTCTGGCCGGTCCTGACGTTAGTACGTACAGCTACGTAGATAACACCCCACGATTGAGTTAACCCGGGAAACAACAGCATTTGAGATTTATAGATAATACAGTTGACACCCTAGCAGAGGCACTGGCACCACCCTAAATGTCATCTAAGGCTCCTAGTGATTAAACATGACTGAGTATGCTTTTCCCCCACCCTTTCCCATCCGGCCGACCAGTGCTCATGGAGAAGCAGCAAAAGACACTTGACGGAAACAAAATCACAACCGAACCATCGCGCCAAAAGATCAAAGAAGTAAAGAAAACGGAATCAAGTTAGAAAATGACAAAATATCGAATCGCACCAGGCACGGTGTATTGACAGTCCGGCCATTTATGCCATGTACGTGCTGGAGTCAACGCCACCCTCGGGGTATTCACTGTAGATATGCCATTAGTTCCCGGTGAAAAGGGTGAGGGCAGAAAGGAAAGACGGGTCACATACGGAAGAGCAACTTCGAAACGCTTCTCAATATCCTTGAGGACCTTCTCGTCCTCCTCGTTGCTGACGAACGAGATTGAGAGACCCTTGGTACCGAAACGACCGGCACGACCAACACGGTGCAGGTAAGAGTCGGCGTCCGCAGGTAAATCGTAGTTGATAGCAAGGTTGATACGCTCAATATCGATACCACGTCCAAAGACATCAGTAGCAACACAGATACGCTTGTTGAACTCCTTGAATTCCTTGTAGCGTTTGATACTAATATGCCGTTAGCAACAGAATTGTACTGTTTACGCAATGCGACAAACTTACCGCTCCTCCTGGCTCACACCAGAGTGGACTGCGATACTCGGGAAGTTACACTCGCGCAAGAGCTTGTCCAGCTCATTTGCACGGAGTGTGCTCTTAACGAAGATAATGACCTGGTTGAACTCAAGGCTATCCAGGAGCTCGTTAAGCTTCCGGTTCTTTTCCGCTTCGCTGAGTTTGATGTAGTATTGCTGCAGACCGTGGAGGGTGAGTTTGGTGTCGTCGTCCACGTAAACTTCAAGCGGGTTCCTCATGAACTTCTTGCAAACGGGTCTGATCTCCTGGGAGAGAGTGGCACTGAACATCATAACCTGCTTGTCGGCGGGGGTAGCACGGAAGATCTCCTGAACATCGCGGCGCATGTCTAGGCCAAAGTGTGAGTCACTGAGTCTAAATCAATACATCGATGCTTTTTCACTCACCGATCTGGTCGAGCATCTTGTCACACTCGTCAAGAACAAATGCCTTAACATTACGCAGAGAAAGCTTCTTCTCGCGAACAAGGGCGTTCAGTCGACCAGGAGTACCGACGACAATGTTGGGGTATGATTCTTTGTTGGATAGCACTTCGACGTCCTTCTGGATGGGCGTACCTCCGTAGAAGACGGCAGTCTTCACGTCGGGAAGGTACTTGCTGAAACGAGCATATTCGTTCTTAATCTGGTAAGCCAACTCACGGGTGTGGCACATCACCAAGACAGAGCACTCTCCGGGGACAGGCTCCAGCTGGTGAAGGGTGGTCAAGACGAAGACGGCGGTTTTTCCGAGACCAGACTTTGCCTGGCAAAGAACATCGACATTGAGAATGGCGGTCGGAATGCAAACTTGCTGGACTATAGTGAGGCGGAACGGTATGTTAGACTTGTATTCGATCCATAAGACTTTGGAAAAAAGAAAGCAATCCGCGTCGCAAGTCCGTCCATCCCCCGAGTCGTCGAATAAGGCAGGCAAGTGATGTCAACTTTCGTCTCAAATCAACTACTAATGAAAGCACTAGTCGGGCATCTATTCAACTGCAGGATAATATCTCTATCGAGAGTGCCCTGCAGACGGCACGAGAACGCCTGCCGTCCAAGATATGGTGGCAAAAGACCCCTGACTTTCGAATAGCATCTTTCGCAAATCACCCATTCTTGCTGAAAAAGCAATTACCTGGATGATTCGCGAATCCAGTCTCACCGTAATTCGCTGATGTATAAGCAGCGGGTAGCTGCTGTTTAAAGCACTACTACCACCGCAGTATCTTGTGTGTAATAACCCAAGCAAACATCCTCATGCCGCCCACAGGCTCGGACGAGATAGGTGGCCAAAAATCGACTATGGACTCCCGCGGAGATGGACGGACGTTGGAACATAGAGCAATGGAGGGAGCTTGTGGGAAAGAATGTTATCAACTAACCCTCCGATGGATGTTCGAAACCGCAATCGGTGATGGCACGTAGAAGTTCTCCCTTCAGCAAAAAGTCGCGGAAACCGGTCGAGTGAATACCGACATAGCTTCCCTTCTTGTCCGTACGGCCACCAGAAACCGTAAGGTCGCCCGTTTTGGCGGAGTCGCCATTTGCGGCGGGGGCAGCAGTGGTAGCTGCGGCATCAGTGGTCTGAAGCTCCTCATCGGAGTAGTCAATGAGATCCTCCTCGTGAGACATTTTGCCGGATAGTAATGGAACGGAAAGTGTTGAAAAAAAAGAAAACTCTAGTTGTCGCGAGGTCGCGTTCTTCCCCAAGACAGCGGAGCTGGGGGATTTACGGTATGGGTGAGTAGAGGTGGTGAAAGCTAAAACAAATACTGTGAATCAATCGTAAACACAACGTAATGCCCCTTTCCGATCCTTCTGGGATGAATTGAGAAGCGGGTCTTGGTTGAAATGTAAGGGAAAGTGATGGAGGTGAAGAGAAGGTTGAGGTCGCGAGGGATGAGGCTGAGGACAGAAAGACCGCATCACGTGACGCATGTCATTAGTCACTCTGGCCTGCCAAGTTGCTATGTCTAGTTTAGCGTCCGATTGCCACTGAAAGCTTCATTATTCTTTATCTTGCTTTATGTGTTGTTATTTTAAACAGTCTTAAAGGTTTCTCCTCTTGAATGGCGAAGGCAAAGGGAAAAAAGGGCTCATCTGGGGGAGCCCAGAGTCACATTCGTGCACGATTAGACTATCTCCATAATGCCGCTATCTATTTACAATCTGTTAGTGTTGCCTCCAAGCAATCTAGTACCCAGCTCGTTCAAAATGCTACCAGTCAAGATGGCGAGCCAGTGTCTGCTTCAGCACGTATTGTACCCCATTTTTTGAGCTGTGATACTACTTCTGGGCGAAAGTCAACTGGCACGGACACCAATGCAAATGCGGATCGTCTCCCGCAACTCTCTCGCGTATTTATATCACAGATGCGTGGAGTATCTCTAAAAACACAGTTGCGACTTCCAGTCGAGACGAAAAGGTCATCCTGCAAACGCTGCGATACACTTCTATCGCCAGGTGTCAGTTGCATACAAGAAATCAGAAACGAAAGTCGTCATTCCAAAAAGCCATGGGCTGACGTCCAGGTCATCCGTTGCACTACCTGTGGGACGGAGAAGCGTTTTCCTCAAACAGAAAGGCGAACCAAAAAGCTTTCTGAGCGTCGAAAGCAAAGTGAACAGGAAAAGGAACAAGCGCCAGTTCCATGATTTTGCTCTTCCCGTATTTCTGTGTCATTTCGCAACAACGTGGACTGCGTGGGACAGGAGCAATTGGTTACTAAGACGGCGCACCACCACATCAAAGTGCACCAAGAAGGAATATCATAAGGGTAATGGGATATACATTGAACCCTATCGATTCCCAGGAACCATCATTTGTCCAGCGTCGAATGGCGCCTTGAAAGGAAACAAGGCCGAACCTCATGCAACCGTTCCATTGATCAATACCTGTCCGGGTTCAGAAGCAACTATCCATTCGTTTTGATCAGTTGCCACGGCAGGGCGCTAGGTATATGAGTCGTCCAATAAAGCTAAAGGCGGGACGTGAGATGCCGCGGGCTACAGAAACTAAAGGGCGGGCTGTGTTTGTTGATCGGAAAGGCTACGAAGAACCCTGCAGGTAATTTGCGGTTGTCGACGGAGAAGCCCATGGCCCCTTCGCAGGGCTCCGAGCCTTCACGTGCAACTCTGGTCGGTCCACATGCCATCCAGGACGAAAACGGGATTCGTCGATATAGAGCAATCGGAGATGGTTCCAGGTATTCTACCGTTAGATATCTGAGCCCACAAATGTATAATCTCAGATAGAAAAGTGGCTTGACGCAACCGGCCTCATTCATTACATTTGTACATAGGCCATCTGTGCGGCAGGGCACGATTAGCCATGGGTTTATTCAACATGGTCATAGATCAAACGTCCACTCATAAAGACACGTAAAGAGAACAATGCATATTGGGGAATCGAGACGCCAAATAGTAGACGACAAATCCAACTTCAAAAGGTGAAAGGCGTGGTTCTCATGACATGTAAACAGCCCGTCCAAATAATTTAAAAATATAGAACAAAGAAAATGGTACCAACGAGGGAACTCCTTCGCTAAAAACACCATGTTGTTCCTGTCGAATCTCGGTTCATGATACTTCCAAAAGGTTCAAAGGTTGCCGCGAGGCAAATATCCCATCTTTAAGCAACTATCCTGTCCCAAATAAAAAGGAGGAAATAAGGGAACGAAACGAGAAGTATGAGAAAGAAAAGGGCAGAACACAGGAGACAAAGAAAAATTCACGTCTGCGGGTTAACTGTCGCTGTACTAGTAACTGGTGAAGGGGGCAAAGAACGCTGCAATAACGGCACAGATCATAATAGCACAGGGTCCGCGAGGACAGAGTGGTATATAAACATGGAGCTTTCCTCTCCTTTTTTTTATTTATTTTTTGCCAAGGAATCAAATACTTCCTTCATTTCTCTTTCATGACTTAAGTTAGGTCGTGCTTGCATTTATCATCTCGAGCGTTCGGTCATAATCATCCTAAAGCATGAAAAGCGGACAAAGAGGTCGTCTGATAGTCGGGCCAATATCGCCAGACTCCAGTACATGAGCCTCCGGGGTGAAAGGTCGTATAAGGCAATATGTGAATGGGGTAGGTTTCAGGGTATAGAGCGGTGAACGTCATCCAAGCATATGCGATCGGGGATCATAGTCGAAGGTAGATTGTCCGCGGTGAGTATCATCGTCTCCTACGGGCGGCTTGATCGAGGCGCTGGTCAAGCCCTTCAATTCGGCCGCGGTAGGCTTTCACAATCTCCCTGATATGTCCAATCTTCGCCATCTCGGTTTCCAGCTCATCAATTGAGGCTAGAATCGAACGCGTACGGGCAATCTCGGCATCGGCATTGTGGATAACATTTCCTGCACGGTCGTAGGTGTTTTGAATAGAGAGCTGCATTTGTTCCTCCAGCTGCAGAATGTTAGGACAGATGATAAGATGATATGCAAGGCTGACCGGCTTGTGGAACATCGTCTGGACATTCCCAGCCGGGACCCGGAATCATGACATACGAAAACATTGCGCATAATGCTTATGAAAGAGGTTTAGGAGATGCAGAGGGGAGGGTGGTTTATAGGGTGAGAATAATAGGAATTCAAAAGAAAATATCAACATACATAGTCGATGCGACTCCGAATCTGCCCCTGTAGCGCATCCAGCTGATGGGATAGCGCTCGCAGACTCATCGGGTCCAGCAACAATCGGCCATGACTGCTGGCAGCACTGGCCGCACGCGAACTTGAATTGCTGCTTCGACCAGTTCCTCTGCCCCTGGAAACTCCGTTGACAGCATGGCCACCCTGAAGCGCAATCTGTTGCTGTTGTCGGAGGATCTGGATCTCGGAGGAGGTAAGGCCAAGCGAGGTGTCGGGAATCGAGGCTGATACGGACATTTGGTCCCGGCAGAGACATGCTCTTACCGCGACAAGAGTCTAGGAAGCGCCGGTCGTTCTCGATGTGTGGAGATGGGACGGACCGAGTTTCATGATGGTTGGCCGGAGCGAGTGTTAGGAGGAATTAGGGCGGAGCGTGGGAAGGAGAGTAAGGGACTGAATCGGTTTCGCTCGATGATTCGTTCTTCTCTCCTGCTCTCTCTCGCACTCACGCACTCACCCCTCTGGACGTAACTCAAGAAAAATCGCCTCCTCGCCAACAGACCTAAGTTGTCATTGGGGGAAATTCGAGGGGAGGAGGCCGAAGAGGAGGGGAAACGAAAGAGGGATGATGGTGGGAGAGGAAGGCCGATTGAGGAAACAGATTATCGGCGGCAAGAAAAAGAAAAACGACCGCGGCGGCTCTCCTCGTGAATCGGTCGCTGGTTACACACTGACGGACGCCCGGGGACGATATGAATTGGTCTACCTTGGAGAAACCAGCACGAGCACTGGTGAAGGTAAGAGTGTGATTAGAAATGCATTGGAGAGTTGAAGAGACGGAGGTAGAGAGATGATTGTAAGAGCGAGTAGGTATATGTTGTATGGACGGGCAACCTGAGGTAGAGCCTGGGAGTACACAACAAACGGCCAGAAACCACACCCCGGAAGAGGATGGGAGAAAGAAATAGAGTGGAAAACGATGTCTAGGATGATTCAATGTTGAATAGGACCGATTTCTAGATCTTTTCCCTTTCTTTGACGCCCGATATGAATTATTCTGGTGATATAGATCGGAGCTCTGTATACCTTACATAGAACGGAATTCGAAGGACTTCAATGACGATTAAATACTGTCGCACAAGACTGAAACTAGTTATGATTTTGGATTCTTGTAATATATTGATTTAATTGTCTCACTCGCGAGAGTGAAAAAATAAAAAAAAAAAAAAAATAAATAAAGGAAAAAAGAAGCATACTGAGTTTACGGTCACTGAGGAATTTACCGAAGAAATCCAACTGCTAACGGTGGTTCCGCCTTCCGACGTCCTCCAGCCATTCATTCAGCTCCCTCTCCTCCGCAAACCAACAGCAGCTCCCACTTACAAACAATTATCCTATACGAGTCGCCTTTCCAAGACTCAGAGGTTCCCCTCCCCCCTCTACCGCGATCTCACCTCCGGACGTCCCCAACAAAACTGGACAACCCACGGTGCCAATAGCGCAATCTGCCAACCGCCTCTGCAAACACCAATCGATCAATCGCCGTCGCCTCTGATCGCCTGGACCGAAACGAATTCCGTACCTAAAACCCGCTGCCCAACCCGTGAGGCTAGAGCCCTGCGACTGCTCTCTTTGATCCGTGATTGGATTGGTAGCTCCGCGTCCGGCACAGGTCTAGTCCTGCGACTCGTCCTTCACCTATCTTGCTGGATACCTCATCGGCTGGTGAGTTCTCCCCTCTCTCGTCAGATCCACCGTGGTTCGCTACCGTTATTTCTGTCGTTCCCCGGAGCTGTGCCACCTTGAATCCTTTCTCTTGCCAAGAAAACGAGGAACTATGACAGCTTACATTACATGTCTGACAAAGGTGGAGCTTCCATAGTTCGATAAAATTAATGTTCCATACACGCGCCTAGTTCACCGTGATCTATTTGTTTCCTCTCATCACAATTACAAAGAGCATTCTAATAAAATAAAATAAGCTTCACGAAAATGCCCAAGGAACGCAACTTCAACCCGGTCCAAGCGCAGCGGAAAGCAGACAAACAGAAAAGCTTGAAAAAAGCCAAATCTGAGGCGCAGGTTCGCCAGAATGAGAAACTCGCCCGTCGTAACCCCGAGCGCATCCAGCGACAGATCAATGACCTCAAAGCGGTAGAAGAGTCCGGCCAACAACTACGGCCGCGTGATAAGGAGGTTTTGGAGGCGCTGGAGCGGGATTTACGTGCTGTGCAGAAGGCCCGGGAAGCACTAGGTGATAAGGCACCGAAATTCGAAAATTATCCGTCGAGAAGGGGTGGCTTTGGCGGCAGAGGTCGCGGTGACGGTGTATTAGGGAAGAGGAGGAGGGATGACCGCGGCCACTTCGGACAGGATAGTGAGAGTAGTGAGACGGACGAGGAAGTTCGACAAATTCCTATGCCGCGAGATACACCACCGCCAATTCCTCGCCAGTATCAAAAGAAGAGAGAGGGGGATGCAGATGCAGGTCCTCGGGGGCCACATGGTCTACCGGCGAAACCGCCTGTGGTTGAATCCCGAACTATTTATGAAGCGAAGCCAGAGATCAAGGATTTGCGACAAGAGGCGGTTAAGAAATTTATCCCAGCTGCTGTTAGGGTTAAACAGGAGGCTATTCGAGGGCAAGGAAAGCTACTGGAGCCGGAAGAAATGGATCGGTTGGAAAAAGCGGGTTACAATGCTGCTCCTTCGGAAGCTGTGGAACAAGTGAGCACTGATCAACCTGATGATGACGCTCAACAGCGGCTATTAGAAGAGGAGAAACGGTTCAACCAGGAACTCAGATCCGTGCAGATCGAGGATGTTGAAGATGAGGATGCATGAGATGTATAACAGTGTATAATAATGATATCCAGTACTTCACGATGTACAACTGATACCGGAAAATAGTAGGCTCTATCGCGGACATAGCACATTTGGAAAAAAGAATCTGAGATAGATATTCCGCTTTGTGGCAGAGCTCCTCAAAAGAGATAACAAAATCTGTATGTACACACAACCCTTTCCATGAATACGCCTTTAAACCCAGTAAGCCTTCAGGCAATGTACCGCCCCTCAAACACCTAGAAAGTAGAGACAAAAGGAAAATGATGTACAATCCCAAAAGAGTGGCAGCAGTTGGCATGTCTCTGAGGACTGTGAAGCTGTCTAAGAACAAGAATCCAAGTCTTCGAGATGAGTGCAAGAGATCTCCAGACCCAAGGGCACCAAATCAATGCGGAAACCAAAAGCCGGCTGGCGAATGCAAATATCTGTACAGTATCCCAAATAATAGGAAAGAAAACCAAAGAAACAAGGACATCACGGCGTAACGACAAAGGAAAGAATGGATCGGTCGGAGAGTAGTGTGCACAATAAGATGCACCAGGAGAAATGCACGAATGCCTTAATTTTCTGCACGGTCAAGTTCGTGCCTCAGGAATGCACATGATCCAACCATAACTCCAGAAGTGTTGCAAGTATTAAAGCGTATAAGAAACGAGGTGTCTTATGTAGATGCGGATGTTTTCACGGATCAACCTGCGAAAACCAAAATCGACTAATTTCGTAGAAGTGAAATGTTGCCTTTGGGGCCCAATAAACCAAACAAGTAGTGGTGGGCTTTACCGCAAGTTACGAATAACCTTACGACCGCGCGCAAGGAAGGGGCTCGGCATTTCGTCCTTTTCAGGGTCCCACACTGCTGGCGGATCGCGATCTGAAGATTTGAGGCCGGAAGAGCAATTTGAAGAGCGGGAGTCACTGGCACATCGCTTGAGGTCTTCAACAGGACGGCCACCAGCCCGGGCTTGAGCAAGTTCGACCAGTGTTCTACCACCCATATTGCGCTGCATGACGGCTTTGAACATCTCCTCTCCACCACCGTTAACCTTGGTAGGGTGCTGTTTTAAGCCAGACTTGCGAGTCGGTGATCCAGCATCAGCAGCCAAGTTCGCCGACGATGGGATTTTCGACAGACGTCGGTGGGGAGATCTGGCTTTGGGCTCTCCGTGACGGGCGTCTGATTGACCGGACCCTGATGCCTGCGGCAGCCTTGAAGGGTTGCTGGGGAAAAGTGGGGGTTGCGTGCTCAGTTTCTGCATTAGTGCGGCTGTGTTCTGGCGAAGGAGGGGGCGAGACGGAGCTTTAAAAGGATCGGGCTTGACTTTAGGCCTAGTAGGTGAAGGCAGATCAGGGGTGTCGTCTTCATCATCGGAGTACGCTAGGGTAGGCTCCCATTTGGCCCGCTGTCTCTCTGCTTCTGCGAAAATGTTCTTACCAGAAGAGGTGGCAGAGGTACGACGGGGGGACAAAGAGAGTGATGCGATTGAAATGGGAGATGGCTCAGCCATCTGCACATCGACGGGCGACTCAACGACTGTTTTTGAGCGATTGAAAGGAGTGCGAGTTTCTCGTCTTAACGGCTTGCTCGCTGGTGACTCCATTGACAACTGACTGATATCAGTGGTGGAAGGAAGGTCCGTGTCGTCTGCGTTAAAGGTAGACGACCGGGGGCCATAAGCGCTTGAGCGTAGGCCAGCATCATCTCTGACGTTGTGGCTTTTTTTCTGCTTCTCTAGTTCAATCGCCACCCTATCTTGAACTTCAGTCTCAAACCTCTTACGAAGTCTGTCAAGTTCGTTCTGCACCTGGCGGTCGATTTCTAGTCTGGCTTTTACCTCCCATTCCCGGCGCAGGGAGCTTTCAATGTCGGATTTCATCTGCTGCCTCTCTTTTTCGAGTTTTGCAAAGGTCTGCTCAACTTCCTTGGCTTTCTGCAGGGCTGTTTCTTCACGCTTTCGCAGTTTGCTACTAAGGTCAACAACCTCTTTCTCCTTCCTCATCAGGCGGATGATAGGAAGGTTGATCAAAGCGGTAGTGTCGGGGCGGTGGTCTGGGTTTACTCGTAAACAACTAGCAATGACATTCTTCAGCTCAGGAGAGTAGAATTCTGGCAGCGGAGCGAATTTGCCTTCGCGGATTCGTTGAACAAGTTGAATATGTGTCCTCGCATTGAAAGGTGGCTCTCTCTGGCAAAGTTCGTACATGATGCAGCCGACAGCCCAAATATCTGAACGCAAGGTATATTTCTCCGCAGCGCATATCTCGGGGGACATGTAAAATGGAGTGCCGACATATGTTGATGCGAAATCATGAGAATTCATTAGCTTAGAAAGGCCGAAATCTCCTAGTTTGACCGTGTTGTCATGTCCCAGGAAAATGTTTTCCGGTTTCAAATCGCGGTGCAGGATTGTCATCTGCGCCTGCTTTCCCTTGAGGCCCGAGGGCTTGGGTGCAGGCCCTAGAATGTTTGACCCTACATCTGCCGGGTCTGCACCATAATGGCAACGGTACAACGCAGTGACCAGTTGGGATAGTATACGCCAAACAAATTCTTCCTCTGCGTACTTGTTCGTCTTCTTCAGGTTCTTAATGACCATGCTGAGATCACCGCCGCCGCAGTATTCCATGTAAAGATACAAGTCTTGACTCGCCTTTAGGTGTTCACGGTGGTAGTAAGCGACGATGTTCGGGTGTCGAAGAGAGCTCAAAATATTGAATTCGGCCGTAAGTTGCTCGCGCTCTTTTTGGGACATTTTGATGTAATTAATTTCCTTGCGACACAGGATCTGCATTTTGCGTTTGTAAGTAGTCGTACAACGTAGAAGAGGGGTTTGGTGAGCCTACAAAACCATCTGTTTTTCTCCTGACTTTGCGAATAATGCCGAAGGAACCACAACCTGAGCACAGTCAGATATTTCGTGGGGCCAAGCATGAAAAATAGAGATATATGTATGCCTTACCAATCTTCTCCAGCACCTCATACTTGTCTGCTTCCGCCAATGCGATTGCCATCGTGGCTACTAAGTAGATTATGCCACTGACAAGCACGTAAGGGTAAAGGGAAAGGTCGAATAGGAGAATTGAAAGACGATGGATGAGTGATCAGCTCATTCATGAGTTGAACCTATTTCGTGGAACCTGTTTGGTTAGTAGACAACGAAGTCGGGACTGGACATGGAGTAAAATTGGTAGATTTAAAGAAGTAAGTCTTCATGCAACGGGACGAAGGCCATGAATGTTTAGTTGAAGCGCTGTTGCTGAGCAACGGTGTGCGCAAGCGATCTTTGCTTCATATAGTAGGCGGTGAAATGAGGGCGGTGAGGAGTCATGTCATCATCACCACTCATTGTTGCTGGAGTGTGTAAACATTTCCATCCTGCTGTAAGATCTGTCACCTGAATGCAATCGCAAGCACGTCTCTGTGTTGTGTGGATCTAGTATGCTGCACATGAATCTATTGTCCTTTCACACTGATTCCTGGCGTTGTATTCTGCAAGGACTAGAAGCGGATAGGCCCCCTTTGAAGGGCTTCTCCTTTTCCTATGTGGCGATTAGATGCCCCACGTGATCCCCTCTTATCGATAAGATGATCATCTCCAACCGATACAGTCCCGCTCTCGGCAACATTATCGAATATCTCCAGACACCATCGGCATAAGACTCGCTCGCAATGCCTGAACCGACTGTGCTTCGCAAGGATCAATTAGAGATCAGCTTGCACAATGAAAAGAAACTGATCAAGGAGGGAACCATCAAGGACGATAACCCTCTCGATCTTAGTGAACCGTTTCGGGAGCTCTGCGCTGCTTGTCGTAAGGGGGATCTCAAAGTTTGTCAAGAGAAGATCACAGAAGGAGTCAATATTAATGCCCGCGACCCCTATGATTACACCCCCTTGATCTTGGTAAGTGATGTTGACTTCCATATGACCACCCTGGCAACCTTGTCGAATTAGGCAAGCCTTTGGTGGTGGAAAGACGATAGTTCACTGCTAAGAACCGTGCAGGCAAGTCTCTGTGGCCATTACGAGGTTGCCCAATTGCTTCTCGAGTCCGGTGCATTATGCGAGCGAGATACATTCCAGGGGGAAAGGTATGGCCGGTCCGGTTACCATCCAACCTTCCAAGTACCGCTGACAGGCGCGCTTGTGTAGATGTCTATATAATGCTCTGAACGACCGCATTCGGAATTTGTTGCTTGAATATGACTATTCTAAATCGACTGACCCCCTTCAGCCCCTTGCGGCTCACATCTCCTCCCTCCTCACCCGCGACCAGCCTGGGACGTCTGATATCGTTGTGACTGCCGAGGATGAGTCTCTGTACTTACATAAATTCATACTCTCTGCACGATCACCTTACTTCCGGAGGAAGCTGGCAGCTTCCCCTGATACCGCAGCATGGAAGCTCCCCAGCACTATACCGCCACAGGCTTTTGCAGCAGCGATCAAATATCTATACTTGGGAGAAGCACCCCGTGAATTAAGAAGTGGACCCGGCACGGGTTTCACTGAATCGGAAGTCTTTACTGGCATTGATAGGGTTGCCAGTCACTTGGAAATCGACACTCTTGTGGATAGCATTCTTGACAGCGGTGATAGGAGATTAGCCAGGCAGAGGAGGACTACGGAACTTACAAAGGGAAGAGACCAATTAGAGGAATGGTTCCGCAACAATGTTCTACAAAATAAGTTGGTAGTCGAAACGGCCAAGGCAGAGGACATCAAATGGGATCGCAACAATGCTATATATGCAGATGTCTTGCTTCAAGCTGATGAACTGCCGGAGAATACGGATGAGCATAGCAACGGTACCCTGCAGCCAGGAGGCGGTGCCAATGCTGATGCAAAAGAGCAAACCCAGAAGTCGGTCCTCTTTCCCTGCCATCGGGCAATGCTTTTGAGGTCTGAATTCTTCCATACCATGTTCTCGTCACCATTCCGCGAAGCGCATATAAAAGATGATTTACACATCATCAATGTCGACTGCTCCCCGGACGTGCTAGAAATTATCCTTACGTTCCTGTACACCGAAAGGGCCGATTTCCCGCTTGAAGTTGCGGTTGACGTTCTGTTCGCTGCAGACATGCTGTTTATAGAGAAGCTTAAAACCAGAGCAGCAGTCGTGATCAGCACCCTCGGTAGCGGTAACATGTCCCAGGCGGAAGCTGCGAAGACCCGGGGCACGAAGGAGGAAGATGACCTCGACATATATGCCATTATTCGAGCTGCATGGATGACACGAGTTCAACGACTGGAGGAATTCGCGGCTCGCTACCTGGCGTATCGGCTGGAAGCCCACATTGACTCACCTGAGTTTGCTGAACTAATTCAAGAGTCGGCATCCCGTATCCAAGGAAGACAGGAGACCGATTCTATCGAGCTGCTGGACGACATTCGCTTTTATCTAGGCGAGCGATTCAGACTCAGGTTCGACGACACAGGCCTCGAAGAAATGATGGAAGAGGAGGCCGAGCAGCATGCCACCGGCGCGAACGCCAACGATGAGAGTATTGAAAAGGTTGTACATGGTGTAGAATCAATTGATCTTACAGACAAGGGTTCAGTTGAAGGGCTGAGGGGCGCAGGACATATTTCCCAGGAAGCACAGGATCATGACCATATCATGCGCAACTTGAACGGAGAAATTGTTGTGGATGAATTCGATAAGGATTCGATGAACTATCACATCTTGATGGATAAACTCGACAAAATCTTGGAGAACTTGGACTTGGAAGCTTGATCTTGGCCTTGACGAGGAGGCAACGTTGGATACAAGTCAGGTAAATATGACGATTGATGATTTCACGCAGGATATATACAAAATCCGTTCAGATACATATATACATAGAATGTTGCATATCTATACGTTGTTTTCGATGCATATTTCTTGGTTTGATGATTATATATTGGAATAAACTAGTACTGACTATATATATATATCTTTCTCTATTTACCAAAGATATTTGTATGCGCTGATTCTCTAACATTTACGACTGACTTCAAACCACAGCTCCAAACCTCCACCTCTACAGTATCCCCCACTCAGAATCATGTTATAAATCATTGTCAACTTCTGGTCAAAACTACGCAATCTACACAATCATCCGCCGTACAAGAAATATAGGGCTCGACTGTCAACAAACCCATCCATCGAACAATAACCGAGGCACAAACCCAAGCAATCGAGCCACACTCAACGGAGCCAAGCTGGAAGACTCAAGCATGCGATAGAGACGACGGTAGTCAGGTCACGAGGCAGTCAGCCAATACAAGCGGACAAGACAATCCATCCGGCCGAATACACAACCTAAAAAAAGCAGGATATACGGAGGGGATACAAGTCAACAGGGAGGCAAAGATACGATACAGGCACATGATAAACAACAACGCATTGTTGACATCCTGAGATGTTTTCTTACGTGTCACACCACATCCCTCACCGTCCGAAGGCGATCCGAGCCGCAGGTTGTCAGTGCGATAGTTTTCACGACGAAAAGTCAATGTAACTACTATACATACAGGCATACATTGACATTGTCTGTGCTTGTCAAGTCGTTAAGGCTTACCATACCGAGACAAACTAAGAAGCGAATAAGAGAGGGGAAAATACCTCACAGAGAGTTTGCATTAAGAATCCATGTGTTCGGCAGACGTGGACTGAGTGCACGCGTGTGTGATAGAAAATGAGGCCATGCATATGGGGCTGAAGGACTATAACAACTTGATAATAGTAGCATAGTCCAAGAATCACAGGATGATGTGAGGTATGAGAACAGGCCCTCCTGCATTGCAGTGGAAACGAAGATCATCCGGTTTCGCTCTTTCCTCCACATCATCTTTTAGTGGATATGCACGGTGGTAACATTTTCTGTTTTTTCCTTGTTTTACAGTGGATACCAGAGCTTTTCGGTGTGGTGCTCTGGAGACTTGAGAGATCACACTGATGCACCCACGAATACAGACGTCCAGCCAGCCTCCCAGCGGGTTGGGATTTACGGTACAGACGAGGCTAAGCCAATGGTTGACCCAAAAAAAAGAAAAAGGGCAAAGAAAACTAAAGGCTCCATTACGCTAAAAGCATGAAGTGTATAGAGACAAGGCCATTATGATCGACAACACGATCATTGGATGACCTGACCAGGCGTCTTGATTTTCTGGTTTGGCCGCAGATTATCGGACATTTCCGTTGCGGATCAACCATGGGAAAAAAAAAAAAAAAAAACCACGCATGGCCTCTTTGTCGGGGGTTTTACATGCCAATCAGACCAGCAGTCCTATAATGGGCCATGTCGAATGGGCGACATTAGGCGTCGATGGTGGCTACCGCAATTTAGTTTCTCGAGTCTTGAGTGGAAGACCTGAGTCAGTGCTGCCCTCTAACTCGCAACTCTATTCGAATTGCCACAATCACATTTGCTCCAGTGAAGTCAAGTCCAGTCTCTTGCATGCGTCTTGTTTGGGTTAAATCCCATCTCCGGATGCATGCCTTATTCGTTGCATCCGACTGTGATCGACACCGTCGTCGCCTGGATCGGGTGTGCGGGGATGAGGGCTTGATTGGTGCGAAATTTTGCGAGCACGATGAAGCTAAGAATACCGTTGGAAAGCATATGGTTTGATGATGATGATGGTGATGATGGTTCTATGATATCTTCATCCCTTCATCTTGTTTCGAGTCAAATACCCTGGTTTCTGGGGAGCAGAGAGCTCCGAGAACCGTTGCTTTGGGAGGGTGTCAAACTTCGCGTGGGGTTTAGACATCCCCCAGTTCTCTGCCCAACTTCCGCCTCGTTAACGCGGTTTTCCGTCGAGGTGGGGGAAAATTGAGAAAGACTATGCGACAGAGGGGCTGGAACTTGCATGGCCTACACACGCACATACACTCTTCTCTAAGGCCCCCCTCCAACCTTGCCCTACTGCTTTCCCTGTTTTTCATCGTAGAAGATGCCTACCCTCCATGGTCGGCCAGCGAACTGCTACAGGTTCCCACCCAAGAATAGGCAGAAAGTTTCTGTGTGGTAAATCAGGAGGGCCACCAGTCACTGTGTCCGTTATCGCAGGGGTGTTGGCTGTGTGGATGCAAGATCCCTGACGATTTACCAGAATCGCAGCAGCGGATGATCTGTCATAGCGACTGGATGTTCGGTTGCAGTAGCTGCTCCAATCGCGGGCGAGCTCCGGTCCAGGGTTCGACAATCGTTATCCTTTCCCTTGGTATTACTCATGATTCTGTTATTAATGATCCATTCCCATGGGAGAGACCGGTGAGGGTTTGGGGGGGGATGTGGCTAATGAGACCAGGTGATGTTCGTTCCATGCGAGATTTGGGCCTCGCCCCAGTAGGAGAATTCCTTCTCTCCAACTAGAATAGAACTAGAATCCCGCTAAAACCATGCCAGCCAACATCCTGGTCAGGTTGTATTGCTGACTTGCCCTCCGTCTGACTTCATCGTCCAGGCACCGGCAGAGAAGCAAGAAAATCAGGCCATGTACGCAGGAATGATTCATCCATTCGCCCGCTGTACAGAGTTGAAATCCCGATCGAATATCGACTTGACCCTGCATATAATGTCCAAATCAAGTTGCGTCCAAAACGACTGATCTTATGCGCCGCACCCGGATAGGAATGACACTAATTAGACTCTGTCTTAGACAAGAATCCCAACGGCCGAGTAGTGAAACCCACTACTAGTACTCCAGGCGATCCGCAAATGTTTAGCACGAGGTGTTAGCGGCTTAGCGCAGTGGCCGAGCATCACTGTGGCTCGGGTCCTTCCTCTTTGGATGCGTCCCGGAGAGATGGATTGCAACCCCACGCTGTCGTAAGTGGTGCTCATGGGCTGATGTGTACACTGGACTGTACATACACTAGCTAGCTCATTGTGAGCGTGACTCTCTCGGGCATGGCGCAGTGAACGTACATCCATCGTGAGCACAGACTGTACCGCTAACCGGATCGAAGAACTGCTATGACTCCCACACCCACTCGCTCACGGACCTTGCGCCAATGCAGGCAACAGAATCCTTCCTACACTGAGTGCTCCACGCCGGCCAAACGTATTGGTCGTCCGCAGGTAACCGGCGCCTAAATATGGCCGGCGGTTATTTCCCACTAGGCCACATGGTCAGGAGAAAGAAGTTGAGGTCCCCTGTCTGTCAAGGCGGATGGAGCTTAAGATGTCAGCTCTCGCAGAACCCATGCTCCCGTCAGCATTGTCCGAATAGTGTCATATATCGTATGTGAGGGTCCGTCATATATATCCATGCGATATTACCCTATGCGAACGACGAACCCAACCAACTCACATCGTCATAACCTGGCAGCGCTCGACCGTAGGAATAGTAATCTCTGAAACAGCCACATGCGGACGGCATCACACTGCAAAACGACGATCTAGCGCATCTTAACCCAGATCGGGATCATAAGGAACCAAACACCGGAATCAGGCTCATTGGTCGGGCTGCCTCGCATTTCCTTTTTGCCTCTCGTTGCCCCCGTTCTACCGACAGACGCTGCGTGGTGGCCAACCTGAGCACTCGGCACTTGTCATGCAAGATCAGTGGCCATGAGGGTCTATTCATTGGATAGAATCATCTGGTGATACCGTCTTGTGATGTAGATTTCATGATTCTGATACTCGGTCTTGCGCATTGCACGATCAGGATAAGCTACAACCACGTCATAGATGTTTGATATTTCTCCTTAGTCCCGGTTCTGATCTCGTATCTAACCTACGTTCTCTTGTAGATCTTAATTGTCCGCTACTATGGTTTCCCACGGATTCCTTTCCTTGTCCTTGATTTTATTTCTTTTTAATTTTTACTCCCTCTCTCTCTGGTAATTTCCCTTTCGCATGGGTGAAACTTTCCCACAGACCCAAGAAGTCAACAAAGCCCCATCCTCGAGGGAGTTCCAGCCCCCAAGAATCCCCCCATCCTTCAGGAATGAAGAACAGCAAGCCCACACCGAAAGTATAGTAGATTAAAGCCCCGAACCAAACACGATGGAAAAGTCTGAAACACCGTTCAATCAACAGACCGAGTCCTTGTACCAGTAGAAGGTATATTGTATACAAACAAGCGCCAACCAAAACGCCACACTAAGATCAAATAGCAAAACCAAGAACGCACGAAAGTCAAGTCCCGTGTCGATCACTTTTCCACGGAGGAAAGTGAGTCCAGTCGTCTGGCCTTCTCGTTCCAGTAAATTAAAAGAAAACAAAAAAAAAGAAAAAAAAAAAAAAAAAAAAAAGAAACCCACAACAACTATCCTCCAAATAGATTAAAACGAAAAATATAAAAGAAAAAACCAGCCAAAGAAAAAAAAAAGAAAGAAAGAAAAAGAAACGATAAGTGGAGGCGACCCAAAAAGCCAAGCGACCCAACCTCTCGGCCACGAGTCTAATTCGGGCTAGGTCGACTGGGTCCTCTCACGACGCATCACTAAACCGTTCCGGGTAAGGGCCCGCTGCCACGCCGGAGATCTGCTTGTCGGTGCTTTTTTCATCCAATGAGCCTAACTGCCTTGGGTAATCGATACGACTCCCCCGATGTGGGATTGATGTTGCAGTGTGTATGCGACGTTGGGTGTGGGAGGGTGGTAACTGTTACCTGACTCTTTACCATATAGGAACTAGATCCTTGTTCCATCTTACTACGGAGTGCATACTATTGGACTAGAAAAGTACTGAGCCTCATGTTGTTACTAGTATCTGTATCTTGGATCTACTACTAGTAGTA